CCACCCCCGCCCCCCCCCGTCTCCACAGATTTCACTGGGAAGTGAAGGGCTTGGAAGGGGGCACAGGCTTGTCCCGAGGATCCCTTTCCTCAAGGAAATGGCACAGGCTGGGTGGGGGTGCTGCAGAGGGGTGGGGGATCCAAAAAAAAAGAGCCTTGTTCGAGCAGGGTGGTGGGGGCACAACAGGAAGGTAGGGAGCAGGATGAGGGAGGTGGCATGGGGACAGCCTGGCACCCCAACTAACACCCCGCTTCATGTCCTGCAGAAGATCCCAGAGGAGGGTCCAGCTGCCAGCCCACTTCTCTCAGGAATCAGGATGCAGCCAGAAGCCTGTTTTCAGAAGACGCTGGAAGCCAGGAGAAGGGGGGGGTGTCTGTCTGAGCTGCCTTGGCACGGGCGGGCGGGTGGCCGGGCGCGGCAGGTGGGCACGGAAAAGGGTGGAGGAGCCCTCACCAGCTGCCCGCGGGCACCAAACCTTGCCCAGCCACCACCCCCGCCGCTGCAGGCAGCAGGGGGGTCTGCGAGAGAAGCTGTCCCTGCCAGACCGCGCGTCCCTTCCCCCAGCGCCCTCCCGGCTGCCCAGCCGTGCATGTGGCTTTGCTGCTCCCTGCTCGCTCCGAGCCAGAGCAGTTCCAGTCTGCAGAGCCCAGGAGGGCAACCGCGGTGGGAGGGGGGTCTCCGGGTGGAAGATGAGAGCAGCTCCGGCCCCGGCGGCTGGTTAAGTCAGTCCCGGGTTGGTTGTGCAGGGTCAGGCGCTGGGGGGTCGGTCTCGGAAGGCACAGAGCTCTGTGCAGCAGGTCAGAGCTCCCTGCGTTCCCTCGGTGGGAAAACCAGTGCCCTGAAGGGGTTGGTGGCCGTCTTGGTGTGTTTATCAGGGCTGGTGGAGCACTCTGCCTGCCTTGGGGTGCTGGGGTGCAACACACACAACATGCCCAGCCTCCTTTCCGAGGCACAGAGGGGCAGGCTGAGCAGCTACGGGTGAGAGCTGGAGAAGGGCAATGAGGAGAAAAGAAATTCTTCCCTGTGAGGGTGGTAAAACTCTGGCACAGGGACCAGGCTGGGGCAGGAATTGCCATCCTTGGAGATCCTCCTGAGCAACCTGATCTACTGGCCCTGCTCCAAGCAGGGATGTATCAGGGGTCTCCTACCTGATCAACATCAACGTGTGATTGGGCAGCTCCAGTCTGCAGCAACTCATGCCCTGGTGAAGAGGTCATCAGAGGATCAGCTTCTGAGGTTTTTTAGGACATGGGAGGCCAGATCTACTCAGCTTCTAGGCTTTCTGGCTTCCTGTAGGACACATCCTTCACTGACAGCTTAGGAACCCATTGTCTCCACTCCAGCTTCAGAGGGGGAGATTTTCCTGCAAGCCCAAGCCTGCAAATGTCTAAAATGTCCTGTGGGAATGTCTCTCCTCTAAAATGTCCTGTGGGAATGTCTCCTCTTCTCTGGGAAGGACTGAGAAGGAAGGGGAGCAGGGGCGGGGGGGGGGGGGGGGTTGGATGTTTTGTGAGCAGGGAAGTCAAGGTGGGCAATGATGTGATGTTTGCATGGGGGAAAAGCAGAGGTGGTTGGGGAGAGGAGGTGACACCTCTCCTTGAGCAGGCACCAGTGTGACTGATCTTGGGAACACTGTGCACAGCACCTGAGCCTGAAGTTTTGAAAGGAGATTATTTTTTTTAAAGTGATTTAAGGCTTGGAAGTTTCAGAAGGGAAAGGTAGAAAAAGGCACATTTTTCTCTGTCCCCATTTCTAGTTTTTAGCCATCTGCTTCTGTGGAGCCATCCTAGATCTCTGGGGATGCATCTCTGGAGAAGAAATTCCAATTCTTCAAGTCCTGGACAGATGCAGGGATGTGTCCTGCTTCCCCACCCCCCTTTTCATTTCTCTGTCCCCATTCCCAGGACCAGAAAACCACCTCTACCTTCCCACCCTCCCCTAACCCCTGCTGGGGACAAGCGTAGACCCCTGGGACACCCCTACCATCTTCATCTCCTCCCCGGGAGCTTTGCAGATCCCCCAGGTCTCCTTTTTCTCCCCCACCAGCCCTACTTCTTTCCTCCCTGTCTGGGAGATCAGTCACGGAGGGTGTCGACACTCACGCACCCGCCTCCCCCGGGAGGATGGGGAGCGCGGAGCTGGGGGTGGTTCTGCCGCGGGAAGGCAAAGCTGCCATCAGCGAGTGCTTTGATCTGCAGACAATTACAGACGAGTGTAGGACCTCGCTCAGCTCCGCCAATAAATAATGGAATTGGTGTGTTGACACAGACAGATTTCCCCCAAAACAGGCAGGGAAAGGGAGACGGGGAGTGAGTGAGTGAGCGGGAGCCTGAGCGGCTGGAGGGGAGTGGGATGAGGAGGGTCTGTGGGAAAACAAGAAGGGGCGAGGGAGGGGGGGAGAAGAAGTTTGGGGAGGCAGCGCTGATGTATGGATCTGGGCAGGGAGGAGAAAGAGCCTAAGGGACACGTTTGGAGAAGGGAAGGAAAATGAAGACAGGAACTGTGGGTGGAAAGGGGGGAGCGCTGCACGCACAGCAGCCTGGAAGCGGAGGGGGGAAGAAATCTGAAGGTGGAAAAGAAAGAGAAGGAGGAACAAAGGCACGGCAGTGCCCGCGGGGCTCCCCGCTGCCTGGCAGATCACACGCTCCCCGAGCAGGGCCCGCGTTCCCGCAGCGCCCCGCACAGCAGCCGCGGGGCCGGGCGGGACGGGCCGGGGATGCGGGGGCACCAGCAGGGATGCGCTCGGCGGATCCCTACCCCTGTCCCCATTCCTGACTTCATGCCTGTCCCTATCCCCATCCCCACCCCTGTGCCTGTTCCTGCTCCCGTTCCTGTCCCCAGCCCAGCCCTCCTCCCCCGGCCCCAGCTCCCTGATCTTTCTCCAGCCCAGAGCTGTTTGTTCTTCGGCTGGTGATGGTTTTTTACTTTGCTTGTGACAGGGAAATACCTCCCCTTTGCTCAGGAACCACCCCCGAGCCCTGCAGGGGCTGTTCCTCCTTCCAGCAGCCCTCCAGCCCAACCCAGATGTTGCAGCAGACCCAACAGGGATGAGGGGAACCACCAAGGCTGTCTCCTCCCCCCCGGTTTGCAGCACTCCAGAGCACTGTTTGTCCCCTCCTGGCCTCATCCATGGCCTGACCCGGCTCAGCACCACGTACTGAGTGTGTGGAGAGTGGCCCAACTTTGCTGAGGTCTCCAGGCCAAGCACCACTTTGCTGTAAACACCTCCCAGTCTTTAAAATTAGGTGTCCAAGTTTCCCATCCAAGCACCAGATGGGAAGCAAATAACTTCCAGCCCAGGGTGTTTACCTTGCCCTTCCCCAGCCTTCCATCCCTTCCCAATCTGCAGAAATGCCAGCTCCAACCAGGGGCTGGACCTTTGCCCATGCACAGATGGGGATCCCCTGGGGACACCTTGTCCCACCAGATGAGGAAAGCAGGAGAGGTTGCAGCTTGGGCCAAGGGATGACTGATTGGGGTGGCACGTAGTAACCAGGGTGTCCATAGAGCTGGAGGGGGTCCTGGGTTGTGTGAGATGGTGCCACAACAGAAGGTGCCCTGGTGGGGCATTGGAGGCCCAGGCCCCCCCCAGCCTGTCTCCAGGGGAGCAGGGTTTTGGTGGCACATCCTCCTGGCACCACCATGCAGGGTCATGGTGCTGCAGGAGTCAGGGCTCCTGGGGTGACACCTATAGATGGTGTTTTACTAGATGGCAAGTGGGAAAAGCAGCTGCCTAACTGGGGCAGTGGTGACTTCTGGCCCAGGAGCTCCTGCCAAACTCTTCAACCTTCTGTTTGGGAGGGTGGGATGTAAAACTGGGGTAAATAACCAAAAAGCTGCATCTTCTTGCTAGGAAAGTCATTGGAGAAGGTCATGATTCAGCTGGCCAAGGCAAAGCAATGTAAGGGACCAGGCTGGGATTCCTTCTTCTCCAGATTCTCTCCAGATTCTCTCCAGATCCTTGATCCCAGTGACATTACTGGGATGGTGGGAATGCTGGGCTGGATCAGGATGCTGCTCTAGTCCCAGACCTGAAGAGAGTGAGGGGAGGGTGGGCCAGCAGAAGAGGGTAGGGTTGAGCCCAGGAGCCCCCCAGGTCCCTCTGAAGGAAAGGGGGGGTTGGTGCTCAGCCCCTCCATGAGGTTTCACTCCTTCTTCCCCCTTCACATCCCCCTTCCTGGGATGAGGCCCAGGAAGAAGATGGTTGGGAGAGAAGCAGCAGTGGGGGCAAGATAGGTTTGTGTTTTCTCTGTCTGCTGTGACACCAGAGTGCTTCTCCAAACATGGCCCCCAGTATGGAACAGGATGGAGCCACGGGAGCCTGGCTCAGGCTGGGCATGGCCCCAGCCTCGCTGGCACAGAGGGGGTGCAGGTGGGTCTGCTGTACTGGGACATCCTTCCCCCAGGTCCTCTGAGCTGTGAGGAGCTGCTCTGCAGACAGAGCAGAGCCTTGGACCTTCTGCCCAGGCCCTGAGAACAAGCACCAAGTTGGCTTCAGGCACCTCCAAACACTTCCACAGTGAGTCCAGGCAGGATGCCCTATCCTGGACATGGAAACCATGAGAAAAGTGCCTCCTTACTCCACCAGATCCCAGTTTTCACCTATGGAAGAGCTGCATCCCCTTTTGGCAAGAGTGAAGTGGGAATCAGCAGGCTTAGAACACTGGGGCCCCTTGCTGGGCTGGGAAGCAGGGAGCAGAGCTGGGATCTCCCCCTCAGGACCCCAAACCCTGACCCAGCAGGGCACATGCAGGAACCTCACAATCCAGCATGGAGGTGGAGAGCACTAAAGAACTGCCACAGAGAACTCTGGAGAACCATGGAAAACCATGGAAAACCATGGAGAACCAGTGCTCCAGTGATGGGGGCAGGGAGCGAAGGGTTAACACCCCACAGCAGCACTAAACCTTGATGGGAGCAAAGGGTTGAGGTGGGGTGGAAGCAGGGAGTGTTTTCCCTTTCTTCTCTAAATATTATTTCCTCCCATGAAACCAGCTTTTCATCCTTAGCTAGAGGCAGCTCCAGCTGCTGGGAATCCAGCAGGAGCTTGAATCTGCTGCCTCACACCCCAGTGCTCCCAGCAAGAGTTGAGATGGAGCTGAGCTCCCCAGGGCAGGGACACTGGGGCTTCAGCCCAAGGGTGCAGATGGAGCCTCGGGGTCACTGGGGGTGCAGATGACCTTGGGATGGAGCTTGGGAGTCACAGGCTTCTTACCAAAGAGGAATCTCATAAATGAGATTCCCACCGCACTGGGAAGGGATTTCCTTTCCCTCTCCCAGGATGGAGACCTGCAGGCAGGGGCACTGGGACAGGCTGCACAATGCCCACCATCTCCCTGGGAAGGTTTTTTGGGGGCTGCCCATGTCACAGCTCCCCCCTCGGGTGCTCCGGGGTGGACAGGAATGGTTGGGATGCTCCATGGGGGGAAGCAGGGCAGCAGCCACTAGCTGCAAGGTGAGGAGTGAAGGTGCAGGGGCAGCCCAGGCCCCTTCCCCAGGGGCACAAACGGGATTCAGGCAGGAGCAGTGGGGGTCTGGGTGCCTGCAGAGCTGGTGGTTGGGCTAAAATGGCTGCTGCTCCATCTTCTCTGGAACGTCCTAAACTTTTAATGCGCAGGGAGCGGCGGGAGGAACCCCCGCCCCCCCCCGCG